TTGTGCCCAAGGGTTATACCCAAAAGGAAGGCGAGGACTTCTTTGACATATACTCACCAGTTGCTCGCTTGACCACGATTCGAGTACTACTTGCTCTGGCAGCCTCTCATGGTCTTCTCGTCCATCAGATGGACGTTAAGACAGCTTTCCTAAACGGAGAGCTGGAGGAGGAGATCTATATGGATCAACTAGACGGGTATGTACTAGAAGGTCGGGAGGGAATGGTGTGTAAACTGTTGAAATCCTTGTATGGCATCAAGCAAGCACCTAAGCAATGGCATGAAAAGTTTGACACCACGCTTACATCTGTAGGCTTTGTTGTGAACGTAGTTGACAAATGTATGTACTATCGCTATGGTGGGGGAGAAGGAGTGATCTTGTGCTTATATGTCGATGACATATTGATCTTTGGGATCAGCCTTAATGTGATTGAGGAGGTCAAGGACTATCTGTCCAAGAGTTTTGAAATGAAGGATTTGGGAGAGGCTGATGTTATCCTTAACATCAAACTACAAAGAGGAGATGAGGGTGGGATTACACTTGTGCAATCCCACTATGTGGACAAGGTTTTGAGTCGCTTTGGATATAGTGACTGCAAGCCAGCTCCTACTCCTTATGATCCCAGCGTGCTATTAAGAAAAAACCGAAGAATAGTAAGGGATCAACTGAGATACTCTCAAATCATTGGTTCATTGATATACTTGGCTAGTGCAACGAGGCCTGACATCTCATTTGCTGTAAGCAAGCTGAGCCGGTTTGTCTCAAATCCGGGAGATGATCATTGGCAGGCTCTGGAAAGAGTAATGCGCTATCTAAAGGGCACTATGAGCTATGGAATTCACTATACCGGGTATCCAAAAGTACTAGAAGGGTATAGTGACTCAAACTGGATATCTGATGCTGATGAGATAAAAGTCACAAGTGGATATGTGTTCACACTTGGAGGTGGCGCTGTTTCCTGGAAGTCTTGCAAGCAGACCATCTTAACGAGGTCAACAATGGAAGTAGAACTTACAGCACTAGATACTGCGACAGTTGAGGCCGAGTGGCTTCGTGAACTCCTGATGGATTTGTCGGTGGTTGAAAAACCAGTGCCAGCTATCCTAATGAACTGTGATAATCAAACAGTGATTATTAAATTGAACAGTTCAAAGGACAACATGAAGTTATCTAGGCATATCAAGAGAAGACTGAAATCTGTCAGAAAGTAGAAAAACTCCGGAGTGATAGCATTGGACTATGTCCAAACGGCTAGAAATCTGGCAGATCAGTTTACCAAGGGGCTACCACGTAATGTGATAGATAGTGCATCGAGGGAAATGGGCATGATACCTACCTAAGGTTGCACAATAGTGGAAACCTGTCCATTGTGATCGGAGATCTCGTGAATTTGGATGGCGAAACAAACTATTGTGTGACTGAGAGAAGAGACCCTTGAAAAGGGCTCATTTTCATGATATACTTCTCTTCTTTCCTGCATGGTAGGATGGCTCATGCCTTAATGTGATCCGAGTGACTTTTCCAAGCAGAGATGTTGACCTGTAGAACATTTCAGAAGGAACACACCTATATGAGTTCGACTGCTAGTCACAGTCTATGAGGTTTGGGCGATCTCTAGATACTCATGAAAGGCCTGGAGTTTGACTTATATGCTCCAAACAGAGGGGATGCGAACGGCAGCCCAGTACCAGTCAAGGTTCTGAGTGAAACCTGATCACACAAAACTGACAATTCAAGGCACAGTCCATTGTTCAGTTGTGGTCTGATGTAGCTCATTTCCTAGGTGGAAGTTCAACTTAACAGTCTCCACCAAAACCCTGGTATATCAAACAGGCACAACATTGAGAACATTTCTTATGAGCCTTGAAATTTGGTGGGGATTGTTAGAATAATTGGGCTAGGCCCAACTTATCCTATTAAATCTCAAAGGCCCATAATAAGTGTTAAGTATAATAATACCACATCAGGATTTAAGCGAGGAATATCTCAACCTAAATAGGGAGTTATTGGAGGCTCCCTGTTGACTGGTTGAGGTGGGGGTCGGAAAGCCACACGCGCGCGCGGGCCTGGCCGGGGCGAGGTGTGGCTGGCGGGCGTGCGTGCGTGCGTGCGTCACGTCGCTACTCTTTTGCAGCCACTAACCCACGTTCCCACGACTGCCTCCGCAACAGCGCGTACACGTTCCCACGTTCCCACGACTGCCTCTCTCCTGATAGATAAGGAGGCCGCGAGTCCGATCTGTTCTGATCGCTTGCTTCTTTCCCGGTGTTAGTTCCTCCTCCTCCGCGCCTGTGCTGTTCTCGCTTCCTAGCTTCTGATCTCTTGCGCGCACGAGAGATTGGAAGGAGCAGGGCCTCCGAAACCACACCTTCGCCTGAGATCTGCACCGAGTAGGCGGGTGATCAAGTTTTTGCACGACTGCTCGTTCTCGCCCCACCATGTCTGCGCCTGGAGCCGGCGCCGCTGCTGCTGCTGCTGCTGCTGGAGGAGATGGTGGAGGTGGTGCGCCACCAGGAGCTGGAGCCGGAGGTGGTGCGCCAGGAGCTGGAGCCGGTGGCGTGAACAACAACACCAACGGAGGCAATTCTGCCTCACAATCCAGCGGAGGGCCATTCTCGGGGTATATCCTTCTCCTGTTCTTGTTCCCGTTGTTAGCACTTTACTGCTATGTTCCTATTCCTGATATTCATGATGCCTCTAGCATGCTATTGCGTTACTGCTATGTTTTTGTTCCTGATATTCATGATGCGCATGATGTCTTTAGTATGCTACTGGTTATGTTACATGTTGTCACTAGATCACTCTACACTGCTTATGCCATGATTATTGTCTTAACATTTTGGATTAAAATATGCCGATTCATGACCATATTTCCAACAGGCCAGGCGATCGAAGCACCTCTTGTGGTCGCCGCACGAGGTAGGGCCGCGCCCAAAGAGGAGGCAGCGTCGAAGGCCTTGCGTGCGTGATGAGCTCGAGGAGCACGCCAAATTAAGCTGTAGACATCGGACTAGATGTTGAGCTTGCCGCTCATTGTGTAGTCGGGCGCACAGTAGCCGTAGGTGCCCATGACGCGCGTGGACACGTGGATGTCGTCGTCGAGGCGTCGAGCACGATATCGTTGGACGCCTTGAGATCGCGGTAGATCACCTGCTGTGTCACCACCTCGTGCAGGTAGCGCAACCCCATGGCGGCTTCGAGCGCGACTGTCACACGCGCGACCCAGCCCAGCGGGCCGGGGGCTCTTGCCTCTGGCAATGAGAGGCAATGGGCCGACCCATGTAGACCCTGCCGAAGCCACCGTCGCCGACAAGGTTGGACTCGTGGAAGCCGTCTGTGGCCGCCGACAGCTGCGCTACCCTGAACTTGATGGTATGGTACCACACTACCACCCGCCCCGCCGCCGTCATCTGCTACTCCGATCGGCAGCGCGTGCGTATAGAGCTCTGCACGGCGTGGCTGAAGACACGCGCCGCCTCACCTAGGGCGCAGCAGATGCGAGCGGCGGACATGTGGAGAGGAGGAGACCGCTGATATGTGGGGCCAAGTGGGGCCCACTCGCCACGCCAACTAAAACCGAAGAGTATACTGCGTGGGACCTTCGGTGCACCGATTTTATAAGTTAAAAAATTCGTTATATCTGGTATTACTAGTACAGATCATCTCATCTCAAACGGTCTGTAACCTAACTGGGATTAGCGAGCCATCACAACGAATACATCAAACTGGGTACAAGATGAATTTCAGACCTGGCAATAAAATGGAGGGATCTAAGTGAACTTATTCCTTAGATCTAAAAGAAAAAAAATGGGTTGTGGATGCATAGTACATCAAACTGAGCTGGGCCGAAGATCGGCAACCTAGTATCACCCACAGAAATATGTATATCATTCCCTATAAAAAAATATGAGGATTTTTTTTTATAAATTTGCTCTAACAGATTCTCTAATCTCATTCCAAAAATTCTCTATTCCCTACACCAGGATTATCGTTCTCTTTTTTAGGATGCACCTGGGCTCCCAGCACTTCTTGCGTGAGAAGAGATCGCACACGATCTGGCGGGAGGAAGGAGCACAAAATAGATTTGTCCGGTGGAGATTTTAACATGGCCCATCTTTTCAATTTCTAGGAAACCAATTTAACCCGATAATGCTTGTACCGGGGCGACCGGCGCGGGAGGAGCTGGATCGGGCGCTCCCCCGCACGCCCCTCCCCCACGTGCTATCTGTTGGGCCCACCCACTTCTCACTCCTCTTTTTCCACTAAAGATGTTTCACCTAGTGTACTCACAATGAATTAAAATTTTCTTTTGCAACAAAAAAAACCCACATATTTTGAAAACTCTCTATTAAGGGAATTTGGTTTATTTTTTATTCCATAAAAAATGTTTCACCTAGTGTACACACAATGTTTCACTATGTATAGATCTAATGTTGCAGTGAACGAAACATTCCATTGCAACAAAAAAAAGACCCACATATTTTGGAAACCCTCTATTAAGGGAATTTGGTTTATTTTTTGTTCCACCGAAAAAGTTTCACCTAGTGTACACACAATGTTTCACTATGTATAGATCTAATGTTGCAGTGAACTAAAACATTCTTTCGCTATTTGCTGAAACATTGTTTTTATATAAGGTAAAACAACACTCGATTTAAACGAGTGAAACATTTTCGATTTACTCAGTGAAACAATTCCGAAATAACTGGTGGAACATCGTGCAATATTTAAAAATAATTTAATAATAAGCTAATTTTTTTCGCCGGAATATATCCAAGTGTGGTCTTGTTTTCAAGATTTAATTGCAACGAATTTAATGGTGCAATCGGGTCATGATTTGGATAAGTAATTTAGGAGAAAAATCAGTTTAGAGTAGTTTTGCACGTAAATCGGACGCTAAGATTTTGATCGGACGACAGATCCCTATTCACCTCCAATTTAACCTCATCTCTTGGAGAGAGAAAAATTTTAACACCTTTATGGTTAGGATTCACATAATCAAAAATCTGGGAATAAAATTTTAGGAAGCTGATGCTCTTAACATGCCCTCGGCCCCTCGCGGACACGCCGCGGCGGCGGCAGCAGCGACGGCGACGGATTATCGGCGGGAGATGAGAAGCCGGGGGACTTCGCGCCCTCGTCAGCCGGAACCTGTCCACCTTTCCCCACCTGCTAATCCGCAAATGGACTCATGTGTTCCGCCGACGATTTTTTATCCATCCAGGTAATCATCAGTTCATCATCCTATTCGTATTCCTTCTCTTCTTTGCTTTCTGTCTCGCATTTTTTTCCACCTTCCTTGTATGCAACTAGAAATCTTTGTAATTAATCCATTAAGTAGAAGTTTGCCAATACCAAACCTGCGATCGTACAAGTGCATGTAATGCAGCCTGCGCCGCTGATCTATTCTCGCCCGCCAACTGTTTGACGAAATGACAAAGCCCGCCAACTGTTTGGCGAAATGACAAAGCCAAAGAGCTACAGTAATCCTTCGTAGGTAACCTCGTAGATGAACGCATAGTTGGTTTCTTGCCTCAGAATGTCAATACATCGATTGCATCGTGATGTGGTTCGCGTTCCAGATTGACGCATTTTGCATGTTATGAAGTGAGAATAACCTGTTTGGAAAAGCAAGGGACTGAGACTTCTCCACCAAATATTTTGAGCACACACAGAATCGTACTGTTCCAGTCCTAACCACAAATGAATTGTTTGGATGTGCTCCAAGCCTACAACGTGTGAGGGGTATTCTGCCGAATCTAATGAACATATCTGCTCCAGCTATTGTAGCAGCGCCGCTACAGAAGCTGGAGCAGATATTTAAATAATTGTACCTATTATGAACCAATCATCATAAATTTCATTGTACAAGCTTCCAGCAGAACTTCACGGTAGAATTTGAGCATTTCGAACAAAAAAGGTACAATTGGTTAAGTGACATCCGAAGATCCCATGTTTAGAAACATTCCACTAGAAATCTCTAGTACACTTTAGTACCATCTGAAAGTTCTAAACGCTTTCGTATATCTACCATTCCAATCTCCTCACGTTGCTCGCTTTCACGTTTCGTCACCTTTGTTGTGATCCGTATCCTGTCAAGATTGGTGGACATCTCAGTGCATGTCCTAGTCACCAGGTGACAGCAACTAAGGATGCAGCGAACGCCCAACAATTCGCCACCCCCAGTAATTGCTTCAGTTAATGCAGCGGTTCTTTCAGTTTTACCCCCAGCTGTAATATTCTTGTTCATGTCTTTGTGCAAGTTGTTCTGTTGCTATGGAGTCCCGACATGCAAATCTTTTCTCCTTGTTGGCATCAGGTGCTTCATAGGGGCCCTCTACTTGACAGAAATAGTCATTATCTATATGTGGGAAACTTTAGATGGTACTAAAGGGTACTTGAGAAGTTGGATGGTATATTTCTGAAGTTAGCATCCTTGGATATCACGAAACCAATTTTTCTTACAATAAACAACTAAACATGCGGCTCACAGGGAATAGATCACTTAACATTCATGCCACTATCTGTTATCAGCATAGTTTTTTGAACAAACATTAGCTCCTTATTTTTTAAACTGAAATGAATAATGTAGAATCAAAGGTTTATAAACATAGTTATCCTTTATTTAATTCATACATCACTATTAATACTAGTCTTTCTGAATGTTGCTAGAGTGATCAAGAGTGACTAACAAAATATTCTGCCATTCTATAATATGGTTCCCTCTCAAGCTTGCTGCTTCCTTTTGTTGCTTCCCCATATCACTAGAATTGTAATTCCAAAGCAGACACCAAATCCCAACCCAGTGAAGAGAAAAAGTAGAACATCTATGGGGTCCTTCTTGGAAGCATGTGGCATGATGTTTGGTTCAGATCGATAGCTACATTGTTTAGACAATGGGGCTCCGCACAGCCCAATATTTCCCTCAAAAGAGGCATTGGAAAATGTCGAGAAGTGTGACGATTGTGGTATTCTTCCAGCCAACATATTATAGGACAGATTCAATGTTGCAAGAAAGTTCAGTGATGCTAGCTTCTCTGGGATCTCATTGGAAAGCTTATTTGAGGAGAGGTCCAAAGACTCAAGGTTGTTCAAGTTGCCAAACTGAGTTGGAATTGGCCCTGTAAGCATGTTGCGAGACATGTTGAGCCCGTGAAGCAACGCAAGTTCCCCAATGCTTGAAGGGATGCTACCGTGGAAATCATTATTTGAGACATCAATCAGCACGAGTGATGTTAAGATCTTGGAAATTGTTATGTCATTGCCTTTGTATGTTAGTGCAGCAGTAAACTGGTAGGTCTGTCCATGGTAATACCGACTTTCCATTACCGAAGTTCCGTTATCAGAACTAGTCATCATGGACTTCAGCATCTTAAACCACTCTTCTGGCAACATGCCACTGAAGTTGTTTGAGGCTATGTCTGCAATCCGCAACTTTGTAAATTGACAGTTGTTAGCATCTCCAGTATAAGAAATATCCATCTGCCCAATGAACCTGTTAGATTTGAGGACCAGGACTTGAAGTTGAGGAAGTTTACTCATCCAACATGGGAAAGAGTCACTTATTTGATTGTTTCCAATGTCAAGGATCTCCAGATTCCTGCAAGCAACCAAAGATCTCGGCAACTTTCCTTGAATCAAATTGCCGCTGAAATCTAATGCACTTAATTCACAGCCTTCCTTGATATTATCAGGTAACTTGCCAGTAAGATTATTTTCTTTTAGACTTAGTACCTGTAGTGCACTTGCATCCTCCATCAGACATGATGGTATTATGCCAGTCAAATAGTTGTTAGAGAGATCAATGAGTTGTAAACTCTTAATCCCGTCACAGATCGATGGTGGAATGTTTCCAGAGAGGTTATTTTTGGAGGCTTTGAAAATAATAGTTTTTTTCAGGTAAGTAGAGAAATTGAGAGGCATAGATGAGAACTGGTTATTGGAGTAATCAAGCGTGATACTTCCTTTTTGGGGTATAGGTATTACCCCTTCAATTTTGTTGAAACTGAGGTCGAAGAATTCAATGTTAAGTGGAAGTAAAGGGTCAGATCCAGTACTCGTAAACTTATTATGTGATAGGTTCAACAAGGAAAAATAGCCTGAGGTCTTCCATACCCATTGAGGTATTGCACCTCTGATCTGGTTATATGAAAGGTCAAGACTAGTAATCTCAGGGAGATGCCTCAAGATGTTAGGGAAGCTAGATATGCTGCAAGATGATAGACGTAAGAAACTAATACTGGGGTAGGTCGCTTCCGAAGAACTATTTTCTCCATCGATCACAACTAATTTATTGTTTGAGAGATTAAGGACAGACAGATTTTGCAGTTTTGCGAGTGAAGCTAGCTCCGCGGTGCCGACAAAATTGTTTGAATGGAGCAGGAGGGTTTCTAATTGAGTCAAATTTAAGACCAGATTAGCTACCTCTCCTGAAAAGTGGCAATTGTACAATGCCAGTTTTGTCAATTTTGTTAAGTACACTATGGAAGCTGGTAAGCGTCCGGACAAGCCACAATGGAAGAAGTTGAGAACAGTAAGAGAAGTCAGGTTTGAGATCCAGGACGGCATGGATCCTACTAGCTCCAACCCAGACACTTCTAGTAAATCTAAAGATTTCAGCTTACCAATGGAAGAAGGCAGTTCTCCAGAGAAACCACTAGCTCCAAGTGCCAACTCCTTCAGAGATTTGAGATTGCTGATAGAACTTGGAATTGTGCCGGAGAAGTTGGTGTTGCTCACAGATATACTCTGTATGTTACTATCTGCAGAGAAATTAGGCAGATTTCCAGAGATCCCAAAATTCTTACTGAGGTCAATACCTCTTAATTTCTTGTGCTGGAAGATGATTGGAGGGAACCATCCTTCGAAGTTGTTGTTTGAAAGCTGAAGAACACTAAGGTTGGACAGATCGGCCAAGAATTCGGGAATCGGACCGGACAAATAATTGTAGTGCAGCTCTATCACAACAAGTGATTTCAAGGCAGAGAAGGACCGACAAATCGGACCAGAAAGTGAGCAATAAGGCATGCTAATGATCTGAAGCTTTGGGGAAAACCGGGCAATGGCGTCGCACCACCGTGCTCCATTGCTGGACATGTCCACCATGCCCAGACGAAGCTCCTGCAGGTTGGTGAGGTTTGCCAGCAAGGTGTCCAAGCTTGGCTCTGAGAGCTGCGAGAGTGAGTATGAGGTGTAGTACAATACACTGTTCTCTTCATCCAGCTCTTCATCAAGGAAGCTAGTAGAAAGATCAAGGTAGATCAGATTCGTGAGGTGGCCGATACCGGCGGGTACCCGGCCGGCGAAATTGTCGTCGGAGAGGTCAAGGTGGGTGAGCTCGGCGAGCAGCTCGAAGCCGGTGGCTGGGAGCATGGATGCACTGAAATCGTTGGAGGAGATGTCAAGGTACTCCAGCGAGGTCAGGCTGAACAATGCGGTGTCAAGAACCTCAGCTTGCAGTTGATGGCCACGCAAGTCGAGGAAGGTGATCGCACGGCCATCGTCGCCGCCACAGCGGACGCCGTCCCAGTGGCAGCAGTCTGCGCCGGCGACCCATGACCGGAAGGCGGCGAAGTAGCCGCCGACGGTGGCATCGAAGGAGCGCTTCAGCTGGAGCAGCGCCGCGGCCTGGTCTGGAAGGCACTGAATTGGCGCAGCCATGGATTGGGTATCCACGAGGAGGATGGGTAGCATGGCTAGGAGAGCAACTCTCATGGAGGAGGACATGTTGGAGATTGGCTGGGTCGATCCGTTTGCAACTCTATGGCACACACGGATAAGCACAGGTACGTCTACTTGTGAAGTTTGTAAATCATGTGCTCTGTCCTGTTTAGGAAACACATTTAGTTTTGAGAATACATTATAACATTATGTCAAAGTTTTCAAAGTTTAAGTAATTATTTTCTAAAAAAGATTTGGAACATGAAAATGATGTGCACATTTGTATAAAATATAACTTCCACGGAGTTAATACATACATACATAGAAATTTGTCTCATGAATTTTGACCAGTTCAATGTTGCCTGTTTACTTCATTAAGACTTGTTTCAAAGAGAAGGTCTGGTCATACCTGTCACAAATCTAAAATTAGTTTCTAAGCTTGAGGTGCAAATGGTGAGAATAATACCCATCCGGTGAACTGAGCAAGAGCTTAGAAGCAAACAACAACAGCCCGTTTGGTTGGAGGGAGTTTTTAAGAGGGATTGGGAGTTTAGAGGGATGAGACTATTAAGTGTTTTGTTTGGTTGGGAGACATGAGAATTTTGGTGGGATAGGGATGGGGAATTGAGAAAGGAACTCCCTCATTTTCAATACCTGGGTAGGGGCAGGTAATTGGGAGGGAATTCCTCATTTACTTTGTCTAAGCAAATCTCAGCCATTCGTTTTTATTAATGATCTAATCTCCAACTAAACTCCCTATCAATTTCCATCACCTCTACCAAACAAGATATTGGGATTAAAAATCAAATTCCCATCTTAATCTCATCATCAATTCCCTTGTGTAAACTCCCAATCCCCTTCTCTCGAGTTCCCAAACAAGCCGCAAAGGTAATATTGTTGTTTGTTCTACTTTCAATTTGAGTGTGTATTAAGCGTTTTCTTCTAGGGATAAAATAAAATATGACATAGTATGCCATAAATAAATAAAAATATTATTTTAATTATCAAATGTATTGCTCACCTTGATCATATATGTGTCAACCCATTTGTATTGAACTGTTCTATTCAAAAGAACTGCAAAGGGGATTCACGGCCACCACTGAGTGGACGTTACTAGAGTCTTTTTAAAGGACTATAGATATGTTATTGGCCATCTCCGTCCATATGCATCTGAATCTCCAAATGGAATTTGCCACTGCCATGTTTGGGTGCTCTGGCTTGGAAAAAAAATCGTGTATATTGCTTTTCGGAGTAGTGTTTGACCGACTTGTATACAAAGGTATGGTAATTTTGGTGCTTGATTTTTGTTTCTTGGAAGAACTAGTGGCGTTTGATTGACAGTGAAATACCATTTGCAATATATCCTGGTGTAGTGGAACCTTCATATAGTGGTAAATGAATATGCATGTGACTGCAATTCATCTTAATTCTATGTGTAGTGTGTATCCCCCTAACCTTTATTCTTTTAGATAAGCTAATGGGAGAGACCGCATTGACGTGTTTTATTCTTCCCGCTCCACACGTTTTGTTTTTCCTGAAATCTCATTGCACAAATTGACACTTCATTTCGCACCTAAATGTAAGCTGATCCGAGTTAATATTCCAATCGGATTTTAGATTTTTCAATCTAAATCTCAAGAATTCTTGATGTTACAGTTTCAACTCAAATCATCGAAACTTCCTACTCAGTGCACTATAAAAAACGTTTTTTTGTAGACCCTAGACTTGCCTTTTCACATCTGGCGCAAATGAAAAACTCAGGGTCATAAACCACTTTGCAAAAAAATATTTTTACAGATGAGTCCTTAGGAAAACTGCCTACCAAATTAGGCCTATTTTTGCTGGTGGTTCCTAATTAAGAAAAACTGCCAATAAAAATGGGGCGAATTTCCTTAAGAAACATGTAAAGTTTGATTTTTATGGGCATTTGTGTTAACAAAACCGCACTTTTTGAAAATATGAGCACTAATAAAATTAAAAAAAATCACACTCCTCCGTTCTTAAATATAACAACTTTTTAGAGTTTAAATTTTGTCTCAGATATAACAACCTAGAGAGTAGACCTTTTATATAAAGTAGGATGGTAAACTTTATATGAAATTATAGTTCTCGACGAGATCTACAATTTTTTAATTGAATATTTTTTCATCTAAGATCATTTATGTGCCTAAATATTTGTTACAAACTCTCATATATATTGTTTTAAAAAACAATTGAATATGTTTGAGTTTTTCAGTGAGTTCGGATAGAGATGCTCTGTACCAAAGTATAGAGCTCGATAAGATCTACACAAATTTGTAGTTGATGACTTTTTCATTTGATGTCACTTAGACTGTATTACAAGTTTTAGAAAAGTCAAAAGAATAACATTCACCCCACAATTACTGAGTGTCATAGGTGAGATGGTAAGAAGGATATATGCAGAGTGAGGTCACGTGTTCAAATCCTATATACCACACCCACATGTAATATCACGTGACTTGCGAGCGTTTATAGATGCCTAAAAATATGAAATATTTATTTCAGTTTTTATTCGCCCACAAAAATGAAAAACTGAAAATTCATTTCCATGGATGGTTTTCTAAGACAGCCGCCTGTAGAAACTGATTTTCACAGAAGGTTGTGGAATCCGCATGCGTAAATCTTCGATTTATATGGCCCGTAGGTTGCAAACGGTTAAAAAAACGCATGTGTAAATAGGTTTTGAACTTCCTTGCACAAATGTTTTTTGTATCAGTGGATGCTTCAAGTTTTTAACTTGAATTTGGTTGTTGCATGATTTTCTATTCAAAATATGAAACTTCCAACTAAGACTCAAAACTTCATACTCAAACATTGTACATTGAAATCGACTCTTGCCAATTTTCAAAAAATATCAACTCAAAAGTTTAGAACTTTCTAATATTAAGTTGACAATGTCAACTCAAATCACAATAATTCTACTCATGACCTTAAAGTTTTTACTCAAATCACAAAACTTTCTATTTCAAAACTCGAGAGTAGCTAATTGAAATCTAGAAAACTTTTCCCAACATCTTGAGCTTCCAAAATGAATTACAATTTCAAACCGCAAACAGGTGGGAAAGTATACCCCAGATCTTACGGGAGTCGTGGATTGCTAGGAAGACAACGTAGGAAGGAGGGGCATTAAGAGGGCAGCTACGTTATTCGGAGCTTTTCTCTTTTTTTTTATGGGGGAATATTGATTGAGCTCATCAGTTGGAATGAGGGAGACGATAATAGATACGAATCAGTTGAAGCGTGAAAAGAACGATCAAATTATTAGGTGTAGTAGAGTGTTTGCTAGTTCCCTTTCGACCGGACATTTGTAAAACACTCTTATTGCTCCTTTAGAATGGAGGACTTAAGTTACCACGCATACTACTTGGTTTGGTTAGTGAATCCAAGAGATTAGATTATTACATATAACACTTCACATGCATTTCTCTTCCCCCGGCCATCTTGTCTTCTTTGGCTGAAACCCAGTATATAGCCTGCCGCTACAATTTCTACAATAATCTGATCATTTAGCGTCTCTTTCATGGAAATCATGTATTGTGTCAAAGTAATGTGTTATTACCAAAAGAAATGTATTGTGATGAAGACAACAAAAAATATTTTGGACATAGATTGTAGTACGAAGTTAACAAGAAAGTTAATATCTATTAATACAAGTTTTTATATCATCCCAATAACTCCATCATCACCAAATTATTTTCATAGGTTTTTTATATCACAAAACTTGAATATTAGGACCCCAAGATTATCGTCGGTTGTTGGCATGAGCCTACGATTGGTGAAAAAACCTACACCAATGCTACTCCTTCCGTTTTAGATTATAAGATGATTTGGCTTCTCCATCTCTATTCTAGATTTACTAATGTACATATGAATTTGGACACATATGAAGCATATAATTCAAAACTCAAAACATCTTATAATGTGAAACAGAGGAAGCAGTTATAAACAGGAAGTGAACCAATTCTTTATAATGAATCAAGTGTGGTCCCAAGAGGGAGCATGAACCTAGGGCGGAATTGTGGAGCCTCTCTGGTCTTAGCTAGCATAGTTTGAGGTGGCAAGGAGGAATTAAGAGCTCAAAAGAGAGGAAGGCCAATTGAAGCTTGGGTCCATAACAAAACTAAACTTTAATTAAAAAGAAAGGAACATCTGTTTTCTACTCTCTCCGTCCCAAAATAAACGAACTCCTAGAGTTTGAAATTTGTCCCAAAATAAACCAACTTCTACTCTCTTACCTACCATTGGTTCGTAAATCTAGAAATTTTATTCCTTCAATACCCCTTACTTACCCATTCACCAATATAACTTCACAATTAATTAGGGGCATTTTGGTCATTTGCATCTTTCCTTAAACTCACCTTGGGAATATAGGGTTTGATTATTTGTGGGACAGAGGGAGTACTAATTAATACCCTCATTTCCCAGTTATATATTATAAGTCATTTTGGGTCCGTGCTATGTTAAACTTATTCAAGCTTAACCAAGTTTGTATAAAAGTGTAGCAACATTTCCAACATAAAACAAATATACTACAAAAATACATATGATGGTGGTTTTAATAAAATTAATATATGTTGCTACATTTTTCTATAAACTGGGTTAAACTTTAAAAAGTTTGGCCTAGATACAAATTCTACTTTGGTTTTCGTTAGCATGCTTTTGAAACTGCTAAACGGTACATTTCGTGCGAAAACTTTCTATACATAAGATGCTTTAAAAATATCAAATAAATCTATTTTGCAAGTTTGAAATAATTAAAACTCAATTAATCCTACACTGATGACTTTCTCGTTTTGCATAATGACACTTCTTTACTTATAAAGAGTAAAGTCCATCACCGGTCCCTAAACTTGTACCACTGTGTCATCCCGGTCCCTAAACTCGCAAATCGACCGTTCAGGTCCTTAAACTTGTTCGACTGTGTCATTCCGGTCCCTAAACTTGCAGATCACTCGTTTAGGTCCTCCAACTTGTTCAGTTATGTCACCCCGGTCTCTAAACTTGGATTTGAATATCATCTGGATCAAATAGGACGGTCTAAAGACTTTATATTTAAAAATAATTCATAACTTTTTCATG